CTTGCAATCCTGAAATGACATCTATGCCAATTTTCAAAGATAGACCAGTAAAATTTTACGTTAATTCAGTAACTTCTGACTTATAATTAATGAATCGCGGCTTATAATCAGGTTTTCTACATCTCATAATAGAGAATACAATAACAATTAAACTTTCAAACAAATGGTTGCAATTATTCCAATATTCAGAGATTCAATAGTTAACTGATAAAAACAGAGTATCATATTACATTGAAAGAAAAAAATAAAAGTTGGATACACGTTTCAAACTGTGAAAGCATAATTCTTAGTAACTGACGCAATTAGACCATAAAAATCTGAATGGAAGCTACAGATGCTTTTTTTTTATATCTTTATGATTCAAACTCGACAATATGGGCGTATTGAAGAGAAATATTGAAGGAAATATATCTGAGTTATTCGAATCCGTAATATCGCAGATGCTTCTTAATTGCTTCCGCACTCCACGGTCCTCTTTATGAGAATTGCTTAAATAAGCCCACCAGAATTCAAGATATTAATTTTTTACGAAGCTATGACTAAAAGCATTCTACTTCTTTCGTATTAATTCGAACGTTCATTATGAGAACCTTGAAATTGTTTAACATTAATCATATGTCTAACGTGCGTGGGATTAAACGTGTCTCGCGTTTAAACAATCGATTTGAGATATTAGAACAGAAAAAGAAAATCATGTTGTAAAATGTGATATACGATAGTAGTATGAATTAGTAGAATGAATGTACAGATGTCAACCCACGAGTTGATGCGTGAGATCGAAATAATATAAAAAAAAGTTACGCCTATTCTCATCATGAACACTTTCAGCGTTACATTTCGGTAAAAGAGAATAATAATGACAATAGCAACTGCTAAACTTAAGTAGCACTATGGAACTCCCTCTCGAGAGGTGTGTTGACTGTTATTGTTTTTGGCCTAATTGGTATGCGTGGCGGCTGGAGTCAATTGTTCCTACCACCGAAAATACGTATGATTCTAGCTTTTTTGTATTCTGACTCAATTGACGCTCTTCTAAACACTTATTGTAACTCAATTGCAGTCGTAACTCTTCTAAACACCTATTCTGACTCATTTGGAATCGTAGCTCTTCTAAACACCTGGTCAACCTCTTGACGCGTCATCTCGTGGGTTGACATCGGTATCTAAAGTCATTCTATCTCCACTTGTTATACAGGGTTTGTCCAATAAGTATCCGGACTGATTTTTTTCTGCTAGTTTGGTAGGTCAGGGAGCAATCTCTATTAGCTAGATCGATGCGGAAAGTTGTTATGTATAATAAAAATCTAGGTTCATTTGTTTTCCACCATTTGTTTCGTTTATATCGTGCTTGAAGTGGAAGCGTATTTAACGTTTGCGTCGAGAATCAAAATGCAACGAAACATCGAGCAGCGTTGTGCGATTAAATTTTGCGTTAAGCTAAATAAATCTGCTACGGAGACATTTAATATGATTCATCAGGCCTACAAGGATGATTCCATGTCCAGAACGAGTGTTTTTGAGTGGCACAAAAATTTCAAAGATGGCCGTGAAGACGATGAAGACGAGCAACGCGTTGAACGACCGTCGTCGTCCCGATCCGATACGAATGTCGACAAAGTGCGGGAAATTTTGAATTCCGATCGCCGTTTAAGCATTCGTTTAATTGCACAGGAATTAAATTTAACGAAATCCACTATTCATTCTATCGTAACCGAGGATTTGCAAATGCGAAAAGTGTGCGCTAAATTGGTTCCGAAGGTTTTAACAGAGGAACAGAAAGAACGCCGTGTGACGATTTCTCGTGAACTTTTAGAATGTTTGGAGAGGGATTCAAATCTTTTAGACAGAGTGATTACCGGTGACGAAACATGGATTTTTGAATACGATCCGGAGTCAAAAATGCAAAGTGCTGAGTGGCACACAAGCGGCTCTCCTCGA